CCAGTTCGAGCTTCCCAGCGGCTTTGTTTACCTACTTAAGCCTCAGCAATGGCGGGCGCCCCTCCCCCAGCCTGGCTGCTGCCTTGCCGCGAGATCGCAGACTGCTGTGCTAGCAATGAGGGAGGCTCCGTGGGCGTGGGACCCTCCCAGACAGGTGTGGGATATAATCTCCTGGTGTGCCTGTTTGCTTAAAGCGCAGTATTGGGGTGGGAATTACCCGATTTTCCAGGTGTTGTGTGTCTCAGTTCCCCTGGCTAGGAAAAGGGATTCCCTTTCCCCTTGTGCTTCCCAGGTGAGGCGATGCCTCACCCTGCTTCAGCTCTCGCTGGTCGGGTTGCAGCAGCTGACCAGCACCGATTGTCCGGCACTCCCTAGTGAGATTAACCCAGTACCTCAGTTGAAAATGCAGAAATCACCGGTCTTCTGTGTCACTCGTGCTGGGAGTTGGAGACTGGAGCTGTTCCTATTCGGCCATCTTGCTCTGCCCCCCGATTTTTTTCATAATATACATAGACACTGAAAATCATGTTGCTTACATTACTCAATTGCATTTCATAATCAATTTCAGATATTATTTTCCGCCTAAAATTTCTTAATCTATCAAATAATAATGTCAGAAGCACATTCATAGACAACCTCCCTAGATGGTCACTGTAATAACTGAGTCAGTTTCTTCATTCTCAATTTTGATTGCTTAGAACTGTATTTCTTCAGAACAAAAGTAATTAATTTGAAACTATTTTATGTATGAAATGGAAAAGGCTAAAAAGAGTCATCTATAATTCTTTATTAGTCAGTGACTACGTCTCTAAGCTTCTTTTAAAATGTCAAAACTGTACAGAAGTAAGATGATACTTTTGCTTTCTCCCATACCATTTGAATAATGCTAAAAACAATGACATAGTTTGATAAAACCATGTTATAAAAGTACCTAGTTCAAGGCAACCTGATCCAATTAAAGATTATCAATATAAGAAAAAAAACCTTCAACGTGACACAATTATGTCAACTCGGAAAACTGGGTGTTTCAAAGTAAACAGGAAAAAATGGTAGGAAGCATTCAGTATTTAAAAAGTTATTAATACATGTAAATATGTCTAATGTACTAAGGTTTCACTTCTTTCACTAAGATTTAGTGTCTCTCATAAAACTGAATGCAGTAAAATTCTAAAATAAAGAAAACTATGGGCATATATAGGCTTCAGTCACATAATCAAACTCGGAAATTTTGACTTATATTAGGATAGAGTTTGTTTTTGCCGTAAATACTAAATGCTAAAAAAACAGGATTAATAAAATTTTATAATAAAGTAACATGGAAAGACACGTGTTCTTTAATATTAGGAATGTTATTAGTTTATTATAATTAGTCTTTGTTTCTTATTCCTTATATCCACAAATACAATATTTAATAGGAGAGAGTGCTTCATTTTCCAAGAAAGAGAGTGTAAGCATACTGAACAATAGTAATCATTATAAAAAGAAGCCCAAAAACCTTTCCCTCTGACTATATAAGCAAGAAATAATATGAAATAGTTGCAAAAAATCCCCATTTTTTCCCAAAAGGGAAATAAATGTGTACTATGAAGTTGAACACAATATAAAAGCCACAAAATTATATTATACCCCAGTCTGAAATATTAATTGAATATCTCAACACAATAATGAAAGCAACAGATTTTTCAATTAAAGTGTAAAATAATTCTAAGGATGTAGCAGCTGCTTAGAAATACTGAAATAAACATGAGAAATCTAAAAAAAGGAAACCAAAATGTTTATAAACACCAGTCTCTATATTAATTATGCACTTTATGCATTTTATATCTTTAGTATTATCTTTAGTACTCTACTAAATAGTATTTTCCTTTGAATTTTAAATATTATATTAGAATATATTGTCAACCCAGAAAACCTACCATTATAACATTTTAATATGTATTGATTTTTGAAGAGCAAAAATAAGCAAAAAAATTGACAGCCTTTCCTATAAGATCTGAAACAAGACAAGGCTACCCACTGTCACCATTTTCATTCAACATAGAACTGAACGTCCTAGCTAGAACCATTAGCTAAGAGAAAGAAATATAGAGTATCCAAATTGGAAAGGAGGAAGTCAAATTGTCCTAGTTTGTAGATGACATGATCTTATATTAAGAGAAACCTACAGGCTCTACCAAACAAACAAACAAACAAAAAAACCTCTTAGATTTGATAAACAAATTCAATAAAGTGGAAGGATATCAAATCAACTTGCAAAAATCAACAGCATTTTTACACACACATAGTGAACAATCTAAAAAAGAAATCAGGCAAGCAATCCTATTTCTGATAGCTACAAAAATCAAAACACCTAGAAATCAATATAACTAAAGAGGTGAAAAATCTCTACTATAAAACTATAAAATACTGATAAAAGAAATAGAAGACAAAAAAGATATCCTCTGTTCATGTATATAAAGAATTAATATTGTTAAAATGTCCATACTGCCCAGAGCAATATACAGATTCAGTGTAACCCCTAGAAAAATACGAATGACATTTTTTACATAGATAGAATAAAAAGATCCTAAAATTTACATAGAACCACAAAAGACCCTGAATAGCCAAAGAAATCCTGAGAAAAAGAGAAAAGCTGGAAACATCACACTACCTGGCTTCAAAATACATTACAAAGATATAGTAACTAAAACTGCATGATACTAGCATAAAAAGACCCACACATAGACCACTGGAACAGAATGGAGAACCCAAAAATAAATTCATATATTTATAGCCAACTGATTTTGAACAAGTGTCAAGAACACACACTGACAAAAGGATAGTCAATAACCGGTAGTGGGAAATTTGGATATCTGTTGCAGAAAAATGAAACTAGACCCCTATGTTTCACCATATGGAAAAATCAAATCAAAGTAAAGGCCTAGCACAAAATCCAAAACTATAAAGCTAGTAGAAGAAAATACAGGGCTTCAGAACACTGATTTTGGCAAAGATTTGATGGCTAAGACCTCAAAAGCACAGGCAACAAAAGTAAAAATAAACACATGGGATTATATCAAACTAAAAAGGTTTTGCACAGCAAAGAAAACAATTAACAGAGTGACAAGACAACCTATAGAATGATAGAAGATATTTTCAAACTATTTGACAAGGGACTAAAATACAGAATACATAAGACAAATCAACAGAAGAATAAAACAAATTTAAAAATGGGCAAATGATCTGAGTAGTCATCTCTCAAAAGAAGACATACAAATGGCCAATAGTTATATGAAAAAATGTTCCACATCATTAATCAACAGGGAAATGCAAATCAAAACCACAATAAGATATTATCTTATCCCAGTTAAAATCGCTATAATTGGAAGAAAAAAAATAAATTCTGTCAAGAATGTAGAGAAATGGGGACTCTTATACCCTGCTGGTAGGAATGTAAATTAGTACAGCCATTATGGAAAATAGGAGTTTTCTTTAAAAACGACGACTACTACTAATAAACTAATAATAGAACTACCATATGATCCAGCAATTCATTACCAGGTATTTATTTAAAGAAAAGGAAGTCAATATGTTGAAGAGATAGCTGCACTCCTATGCTTACTGCAGCACTGCTCACAATCTGTCAATCAGTTAGTTAGAATCAATCTAATTGTCCACCAATGAAGGAATGGATAAACAAAATGTGGTATACAAACACAATGGAATATTCAGCCACAAAGAAGAATGAAATCTTGTCATTTGTGGCAACATGACCAAGACTGGAGGACATTATGTTAAGTGAAATAAGTCAGGTACAGAAAGACAAGTACCACATGTTCTTATATGTGAGAGTTTTAAAAGTTGATCTCATAGAATTAACGAATAGAATAATGGTTATCAGGGGCAGAGAAGAGTAGTGGAGAGGGGAATATAAAAATAAGTTGATTAAAGGTACAAAAATACAGTTACATAGAAGGAAGAAATTCTAGTCTTCTATAACATAGTAGGCTGACTATAGTTAATACTTTATTGTGTATTTTAAAATAGCTATATGAGAAGATTTTGAATGTTTTCAAAACAAAGAAATGATAGATGCTTGAGGAATAGTATATGCCCTTTCCCTAATTTGATCAATACAGTGTATACATGTATAGAAATATATGTACTCTACAAATGCAATTATTATATGTCATTTAAAAATAAAACATAATGAAAATAAATGTTAAAAATACATAACCAAAAAAGAAAGAAGGAAATATAATGTATCAACAACAACAAAACTCGGTTTTGTAATTACAATTGATTAAAATTAATTGTGCATATTTGATGCTGAAGAACTGATACTAGAAATAATTTGAGTATATTTTAAGCTAAAATAAAAACTGCCCTAAGAAATAATTAAGCTTCCTTATAATCGTCCATTACCTAGTGTATTAATACTGCTATTACAAATTCAATTATAGTTTAGAAAAAGTGGTTGAATAGAGTACAGATTTAACTTTGCCCAAATCAATGTTCTAATGGCAAAGAGCAGTTAGCTTGAACTTTTACCATGTCCATTTGTAAGTAACTCACCTGATTAGCAATCTGCCGAGCAAGGACATCCATCCTT